CTCTAATTCTGATAATCATGTATTTTCATTCATCAAGCTCTCTTCTAATATCAGATTTATACTGTCTATCTTGCAGATACCACGTGATACTGATAGATTAAGTTATGTTATTCCTTTCCTATCATCACCTCATCAGATGAACGAGTCATTTTTGTTATTATTGAAGTTATATCTTACTGCGCTTGCGCTTGAAAGCACAAAAGAGATTTTCTTAATTAATCTCCAAGACCAGTAGAAAAGCTCTTTCCCTTGGTTTCACAAGCATAATATTATTATTGTGTCAGAAGATTCATCTGTTGCTCTATACAACTTACTAGAATGTGAGATAATTTCAAATTCCTATATTTTGCTCCAGCAAATTTCTTCTTAAAAAGGTGAATTACATCTTACGGGGGAGACAGATGAGTAATTGATTAGCTTTGAATTCACTTTCACGTCACTCGGAATATGGGATATTATTCCTAAAAAGAATATAGTTAGTTAAAGTGTGGGGTGTTTCTGACTTTTTACCATAACTACAATCTCTCAGTCACTTTTTTAAATTCAGCACGAGACAGGAAGAGTAGTGTTGTGTCATGTAATAATTAGAATATAAAAATATATTCCAAATACTAATAAAATGTTGCTCAATCATGAGCTCTTGGCTTTAGCAGTACTTTACATGACCAACTAAACTAAATTAGAAAACTTGCAGTAACTTTTCTAGCAAGAGGATCAAAGGCGTGGTTACAAAGTGAGCTGCGTGACTTATAATCTATTTTATCACTTGAGAAGGAGATTAATATTTTAATATGCTAGAGCCTAGATGTTAAAAATCTGTCATAGTCATGCGAAAGTGGATAAGATCCTTTCTTATATTCTTCTTCTTATAATTTTCTTTATTTATAGTCTACCAACAATTTTAATCTTGAATTTAAATATATAATATGTTGACGGAACATTTGATTATCCGTGTAATTTTCTATGTGTGGTTTGGGGGATATGGAGTAAGTATGGCAGAAAATAGTTGTTGTGATGATCCGTTCAACTTTTCAATTCCCCTTATTAATAAGCGACAGTTTGAGGAGCTTGGGGTCGTCTGGGGGTATTTTGGGAAAACTGCAAATATTTTGGCAAAATTTACGTACTAACCGTACTTTGGTTTTGCCACGTTCCTTACACCGCTCAAACGAACAACATCTATACTCTACTTCACATTGTTCTTCCTTGAAGTTGTTAGTGCTCAACTCCTCTTCCAATTTCCTCTATCTCTTTCAATCTTCTCTCTTCCTGGACAATTTATTCGCGTTGGTCGTACAGTTATAAGGTGAATTTTGGTTTCTTATTTTCTTGATTTTTGGAATAGCTGTTGCATAGAATTGTTTAAACATAGTAAATTATTGGTCGATCACTCTCTGTTCCTTTATCCAGAAAAATCTAGGACGAATATCTTATTACAAAAGAAAGTGATTATAAACTACCAGTTGACTTCCCAACCCTTCGAACTAGACATTATGGGGTGCAGACGTTCACCACATGATATTGAAAATAAAATTGGTATGCTACAACATCGATCCAAACGCTATAGTTTGACACTAAAAAAGTAAAATCAAAATTCTTGTTTCGACAAGGTTAGACATTAGAATCTGATTCAAGAACACAAGGGATCGACTTGAAAAGGGAGGGATCGAGCATGATTTTCAGATAATACGCTATTGATACTAATCTTTCTACTGCATGATTTTCAAAAGGTTTGCATTATTTGAAAATTTCATTATTTTTAAAAGGTTTATTAGTTGGAGTTCATAATGATTTTCCGAAGGGATAAGTTGGATTAAACTTATTTGTTTCTACTAAATAGTCCAAAATTACATATGTACAATATGTTCCTCAAGGGGACCAATTAGCTTAGGTTTTCCGTCTTGCAATTAGGGACTGATAAGACAAGTGGGTGAGGGCTTGCTAGAGCAAAGGCATTTATGGGAGTTATGAATGCAGTTGCATTAAATTCTCAACTGAAGCCGCTTTTCCTAACTAGGATTATAGGTTCATGATCTTTAAGCTATAAATAAGTTTAGTTTATTGTGAATGTTAATGCATTATTTCTTCTTTACTTGCAATTTTATAGTAAAAAGGAACTATTAACCAGTAATCGATATTGCAAATTATGTTACTGTGTTTGATGTTGTTGTATTAGTACTCTGCTGCATTTTTGTTCTGGTAACCAAAAAGAATAAAGTGCCTAATCATATTTATATGGTTCTTTATAGAAATAGCTCATATTAGCAAAGCGAATTGTAATATGAAGCAATAACTGTAGAATTATAGTTGGATTTAATAGTTAGTATCGTAAAACTGATTAATTGATAATATTTTCCATTCCTGTTTTCAATTTTATTCTCAACATCCCCCTGCCAAAAAGTTTTTTGTGTTCTGCTTCTGGCTGCAATGAAAGAGCACCGATCTATATTTAGCATATAAACTTCACAAAGTAATTTTATTGTCTTACAATTTGATGATCTTTAAGCTATAACTAAGTTTAGGTCATTGTCAGCTTTCCAACGTGATTTACTATGGTGTACGCTCATTAGATTCGGTAAGAATCACTTAAGTTTTATTACTTTTGTTGTAATTTATTACTGGAAATAATTTAATCCTTTTAATAGACTTGGCCAAGGAAAAAGCACAGGTCTGTATTTAGTGTATAAATTTCATAAAATAATGTCATTGTCTTATAATTGATAATTGACAATCTTTAAGCTATAAATATTAGGCGATTGTCAAAATTAATGCATTAGTTGCTCTTTACTTACATTTTATCCTACAATCTGTGTATTTATTGTCATTATATGAGTTCTCTGCTGCATTCTTATTTTGGTAGCTATAAAGAATAGAGTACCTAATGATGTTGAAACAAAGGAGAATTTTGATGCAGCTAAAGGGCTTGACAATATGCTTAACAACTGAACATTTTTCCCGCTCAGCTGAAGTTATTTCTTCAGTGGCTTTGCAGTGCCAAATCTTCAATTGCTAATAAAAAGTTGTACTTATCTTTGTGGTTCAGATTTTCTAACAGAAATAAAGCTAGAACAAGATCAAGATCACTAGCACTGATCCAAACTCCTTGACATCAGTTTCATGTAAAACTGATCAATACTACCATGGTGGTTGCAAAACTTTCTTACGTTTGTCAAATAGCATGCTCAATAAAACGTTAATGTTCTTTATTGACATGTTGATGTTGATAATATGCAGGTTGTTGACATAACCTTTATTAAGAAAAAATCATGTTCTAGACCAAGTAAGTCAACATGTGCTTCTACTGCTACATATGGTGACGGTGAGTATCTTGCTTGCTCTCTTTCTGGCATTTCATTTTTTTGCTCTAAATGAACTCAATTTTAATTTGCCGATAATTGTTTTCTGAAAATAGGTTGACATACTCCTATAAACATTGATATTTTCTACCTTATCAAAAAAAAAAAATATTGATCTTTCCCCGAGCAATGCGCTACGTCCTACAATGTTGAAGAACCGATTTGCTGACACCATCATCAAAGTGAAACGGAAATCTCTTTCACTTGATGAGTGTATTTCGTATCACATAGTTGAATCAGCATGATAAGTCTAATCTGCAGTCTGAAATAGCCTATCTCTTATCCAACAATATTCTTTCGTATTCGACAGTAATAGCTTTAATGCAGATTTTCCTAATCGCCTGTGTTGTTTTCTTTTGTCATGCTTTAACTCAAGCTTGGTCTCTTTCATCCATAGTATTATATTCTTGTGTCAGCATCATACTAATTGAGTTTGTTCATCCTTACGTCATAGGTGTCTTGTTATACTAAATGGCAATTTGAAGAATTTGTTTATTGAAGCACATATTGATTTTGACATTATATTAGAAGTATTAGTATAATAATCGCATAGAAAAACTGATAACTAGATTTCTTTTTATTTCTAGGTAGGTTGAAGATTGCACTGGACATACTACTTTTCTTTCCTTTTCTTGTTCTTTGTACTGAAATTTCTGCTACTTCTTTCTTCTGTTGAAGTGTATTCTGTTCGGTAAATATACGGTTTTACAGTGAGTGTAGCATTAAAGTTGTAGGTTAATGGACTTTCAAATGAGAAAAAGTCCAATAGTCCATTCTTTCTAATGTTCTGCATGTTTATTGACTTCAGTTGGTCTGCTATAAAAAGGTATACCACAGATGTGAAGCTCTATAATCAGGAATTCAACAAACACGTTTTGTAGAGAAAAAGTGATCATGTGTCACCAACCATTTGCTACTATATTCTGGTAGTAATAACGTTATTGCAGATCTATGGATGTTCCTCTAAGATAACCCTAATAATATTATTGCATATCTATAGATGTTTCTTTAAGACCACTTTTCATTTCGTTTCACTGTGAGAAACTTTATTTCTCATGATTTGTTATTGTTTTATTCATTTCATTTGATAGGGTAATCTTTATGGTCAAGATATTACCAGTATAAGGTATGAAAAAAAATCCCTTTAGAAATGCAAGGTAGTTAGACTTTACACAATAGACCAACTGTGCTTCAGCTCTGCCCTTGATCCTATATATAATGGAAGCTTAATGTACCAGTTCGGTATTTATTGTTCTACTCTGTAAACTGCAAACATGATAGGATTATATTTACAATCTTATAGAAGTTTGTCGCCTTCTGCTTTCCCTCAGAGTGGTACCTCAGAGTGGTATCTGAGCCTGAAAAATCTACAGAGTATTATATCTGGACCGGGATCACAGAGTTTATACATTTATGACAAAAGGCCTTTCCAATTGTACGATTGCTTAACAAATGCAATCCTTGCATCAAGCATTGACAACTATCCTGAAGAAAACATTTTGAATACATTAGAACCAAGTGACTGAGTTGGCTGCTGGGCTTCATACTGGACAAGTAGAGGAGAAATATCAAAGTTTGTGCTTGATTTCATAATTCATGTGCAACCATTTCAAGGTTTCACCTCAAGTTCTATTTTCGGTGATGTTATGGATTTGTTCATTCGGCTTGGGTTTTTTTCTCATTAACCAGAAATATTATAATTTTGTAACAACATATTTCCAGTTTGGTTTTCCTCTTTATTCAACAAAAGCTGTGAGATTCAGAGTCGGACATCCTAATGTTAAATTTCCATGTTGCATAATTGTCTTTAACTCTCGCTCTAAATCTGGCAAAAAAATTAATATTGTTTCTAAGATAAAATCACAGGTTATTTGGTGATTTTGTCTATTCTTTCTTTATTTACTAGCTTAACAGCTCCAATTTTGCTAGAATCTGATTAATTCAGTGGAGCTTCTCATGTGGAGGTGTGTGCGTTTATGTTGGGACTCTATATTTTCTATCTGTAGTTTTAGTTGAATAGACAAAGAACCCAAAATATCCATATAAACACATATTGCTCACAGCCTCACACATTTAACTTTATTCTACAAAAAAGGATGGTGGACTTGTTTTAAGTAGCCCTCAAAGGCATAAATCTATTGTTAAAAATAATATTAACAACAATACTAAATAGCCGTTGGGCCCGGGCTTAGTCCGGGCTAACCCTCACTAGTTATTACTAAGATAGTTATTACATAATTTGACTAAAAAAACAAGAATTAGCAAAAAACAAGAATTAGCTATGAAATTCAAATTGTAGCTAATAGGATTTTTAAATAATATTTCTCTAATTCATCTCTACATAGGATTAACGATAATTTTTTATTAACTACATAATTTGACCGTTGCTAAATTTTTTTTTCTTTTTGTAGTTGGCATATCTAGAATACATGGCACCTAGACGATCATTTTGATACGAAATTAAATCAAAAGAAGGGGACACATAATAGATCACTGAGCCTTTAAAATTATCTTGATTGTTTCATGCTTAGATATACTGACCGCTACTTTATCAATTGAATATGATAAATATTCGTCATTTTCAAGAGTTTATATTTTGTCTAAACTTTATTTTCAAGATTTTTTTTAAAAAGATTATACACATTGTTATAGGGTACACGCGCATCGCATCGCATGTGTCCTAAAACTAGTCTATATCTTCTATATTATTATAAAAGTATGAATAAAATGTCGGTTTACAAAAATAACCTCATAATACTAAGCTTAATAACTCATAATGAGATGACATAACTGGAATTCTAGACGTTAGCCTTGTAATCCTATTAGTTTTAGGACATCTCAATGTGTTAGTGTACAAAAATATTCCTAAGATATTGGATTTACTTTTTCCATAAATTTCGGTTGTTGTAGAGTTTAGGACTTCGAATTCATTAAAAAAACTGCGATCTTGGTTTAATTAATACTAATATATTCATATTTGAAAATGTCACTAACGTAAATCATATATTTTGAAGGACATACGAATAAGAACTTTGAATTAGAAAAAGATTTGGCTATCTTTCACGTGACAATGTTCCTCCCGCTCAAAGTGACACAAAAAGTCAACATAATATATGTTGTAAAACTTCGCTTCAAAATTTTAAAAATCAAAAGTGCACATTAAATTGGAAAAAGATTAAGTCTCTAGAGAATTGAATATCCTAAAACAAAAAATGAAATCACTAAAAAGATGACTTATGGTAAATACAATTTTTACGTATAATAGACATTAAATTGTGTATCATGCACTTGCCACTTGATCTATTTTGCTATAGAATGTAAAAGTAAAACAATGACATGTTATATCTATATCTATTTATCTATATCTATATATTATTATAAAAGTATGACTACAATGTTGGTTTACAAAAATAACCTTATAAGTAATATTAAGCATAATAATTCACAATACAAGGATATAACAGGAATTCTAGATATTAACCTTGTATATTATTATAAAAGTACGAATAATTTATGCTAAATGTTAAATGACTAAAATATCCCCAAAATATTAATCGACTTTTATGCCCTTTAATATTTGTATAATTTAAGGATCTAATTGTAAATTACCTAATGATGAAATTCTTTTCCGATTTAAACTACACATGTCCTACAAAATTGATCCTACTTGAATTAGGAAGCAACGTCCATAATTTCTTTTTAAAAAAAATATTGTTCCTAATTACAAATAAATATATGTAATTGTGTGAGAATAGAAGATTTACGTAGTATATGAATTATATTTGAAAAAAGGGATAGTTAAATATATAGTCTTGTGCATTGTATCTAATAAGTAGGATTTTAAATCAGCTAAACATTTGTTAACTTTGAATATGGTAAATCATTACTGCTGCAAACATTGCCAAGTTTGTAAAGGACTCTAATCTAAAGATCAATGTCTATTAAAAGTTGAATATCACCTTACATATTTATTTGGTTCCGAGAGCCGCTTTTGAAGTATTCAATAATACTTTTCATGGCACTCCAACTATCTTCGAAAGCCCTAAATTCATTGTAGGCTTAACGTATGTTCAGTTTTTCTTTCTGTTTTTATTGTAAGCCTTTTAATTTAATGTTATATTTGTGAAAGATAGAATTTTTAACTGTGTGTCTTCTATTGTTCAAGATAAAGTAATCAAAGTCATGTGTTCCTTCTTTCAATTTTCGTCTTCTTTATTCTGAATTCATCTCTTTGCATAAGTCACACATTATATTAACTCTTAATTATTAATGTATTACAGATAACCTTCTCTTATATTGTGAGAAGATAAAAACTTGAAAGGGAGCTATCGGTTGCTTACCATTCAAAAGAATTTTTGTCTTCAAACTATAATTTTATGATGGATAAAATTGCCCCATTGCTTATTCTTCCAAGAATATTTTATGTCATCAAGATATAATTCAATGATATATGGATTAAGTTGTAATACCTAATCGGGCATGTCATATGTCACGACCCTAAACTCGGATTCGGTCGTGATGGCGCCTCTCGTAAAAACAAGGCCAGCCGACACATACCCAATTCCCTTTTAAGCAATTAAGATAATACAATTAAGTCTTAAACATGGTAAAATCCCAAAATAAGCAGTGACAGTACAATTTGTGGAATTAAAACAAACATAGCCCGACATCCGGGTGTCATTAATCATGAGCATCTATCACTATACTACAAGTCTGAAGAGTCTACATAATCTAATACACAACTAAAACATGGAAATAAGATAAGGGAAGAAGCTCTAGGCTGCGAAAGCCAGCAGCTACCTAGAGAATCTCCGAATCCGCCTAAGCTGGAAGGATCAACACTTGCTAGCGGGACCTGAAGCGCCTGAATCTGCACACGGGGTGCAAGGAGTAAAGTGAGTACTCCAACTCAGTGAGTAATAATAATAAATGCAGACCGAGAAATAAGAAATCAAGTAAAGCACATTACAGGCTATAAGGAAGCAGTAAAAGCCAGTAAAAGTAATGAAACAGTGAAAGTATGCAAAGTCACTTTAGTTCAGTTTAAGCTTATAAAAATGCCCTTTTTAAACAGTTAAGCAAGTAAAAGATAGGCAACTAGAAAAGGTAAACACATAAAGAACTGCCCCTCAGGCGCAATACCAACAGAATCAGCCCCTCGGGCAACACATGGAACAATACCAGCCCCTCGGGCTCTATCTCATATCACAATGGGTACTCGCGCTCACTGGGGGTGTGCAGACTCCTAGAGAGGCCCCTTACGGCCCAAGCGCAATATCAAGCCATCTTGTGGCATCATCACTAGGCTCTCGGCCTCATATCAACAAGTCACCTCGTGGCGTACAGATCTCAGGCCCTCGGCCTCATAATCATAATCGGTGTTTCCTCACAACGTAGGCCCTCGGCCTTACTCAGTCAAAATCTCACAAGCCAATCGGGCAACAGTTAAACATGGTTCTCAGCCCAAAATATCATTTAAAATATCATTTAAGTGTTAAAGCAGGGTAAACATGGCTGAGTTATGAAAACAGTAGAATATAGCATGACTGAGTTCAAGTATAAAGTCAAAACAGTGAGAAAATATCAGTAAAAATCCCCTAAGGGTCCAAATAGTTAACACGAGGCCCAAATATGGCATTCAGCCCAAAACATGATGATAGCAAATAGTTTTCAGCCAAATACGCGGTAAAATAATCATTCGAGACGGACTAAGTCACAATCCCCAACAGTGCACGACCCCACGCTTGTCATCTAGCGTGTGTGTCACCTCAATATAGCACAACGATGTGCAATCCGGAGTTTTATACCTTCAGGACAATATTTACAATCATTACTCACCTCAATCCGGTCCAAAATCTATCCCATGATGCCTTTGCCCCTCGAATCGGCCTCCACTTGCGTCGAATCTATCCAAAATCAGAATCACGACGTCAAAATATGCTAAGGGAACGAAGCCCATGCGAAAATAATCAATTTGCAACATAAATCCCGAAATTACCAAAACCCGACCCCCGGGACCACATCTCGGAATTCGATAAAATTCACATCAATAGATTCCTCATCTCCCTACGAGTTCATACATATCAAAAGTACCCAAATCCGACCACAAATGGTCCCTCAAATCTAGGTCTCTAATACCAAGCCTTAGTTTCCTCAATTTTAACCCTTAAATTCCATTAATTACAGCTCAAATCCGTGAAATAATACCATAGGAACGAGCTTTAGGTCCAAAATCCTTACCTCGATGAAATCCCCTTGAAATCCTTCTTCAAATCGCCCAAAAGGCTCCAAAAGCCGACTTAGAAATGGTGGAATAGCTCAAAAATCACGAAGGAAATAATTTATACCTTCTGGCCCAGGGATTTCGATTCTGCGGACAAAATCCCGCTTCTGCGGTACTGCTTTTGCTGTCCTTGAACCACTTCTGCAGTTTTTCACTTAAGTCCCAACATCCGCATCTGTGATGCTCACTCAGTACCTGCGGCATCGCAGGTGCGTTTACCCAACCGCTTCTGCGGTTACAACCTTCCTAGCCTCTTTCCGCTTCTGCGACTTCTTTTACGCATCTGCAGCGTCGCACCTGCGGCCCCCAATCTGCAGGTGCGGAAACAATAGAATAGAAAAATCTGCAACTTCACCAAATTTCCAAACTCTCCGTCAACCATCCGAAATCACCCCGAGGCCCCCGAGACCCCAACCAAAAGGACAAACATATCCAATAACCTTATTCAAACTTATACCAATCTTCAAAACACCTCAAAAAATATCGA